TACATATTGATGTGTGTTATTTTTCATTAATTTCTATATTCTCTGTCAATGCCTTTTTATTATATCTTATTATACTGACAATTTTATTTAGCAAAAACTTTTGATCAGGTTACTCCGTTTATCCATCCTATGGTGGTTACTCGGAAATGCGTGTTCAACTACCCATCCCAGGCCGGGCGTGGATAATCGGAATTCATTTATATTTTTCTTCCGATTTTCTACCTCGGCTGTATACAGTCATTTAAAGAAACATGATAAAACTGGCCAAAGATACTTAGATATAGACATTAGCCATACCTATTAAAATATAAAAAAACTTTTGGTAAATCCAAATGTGCATGCCATAAGCGCTTATGCTATACGTCAATTTTTTTGTGAAAGTATTTTAAATACACACTAGTTTTTTTTTATAGAAGAGGGGGCAAACAAGCATGCGGCTCACCTGGTGTTAAGTGACTACCGCCGCCCATGATTAACCGCAACACCAAGGGAATTGCAGGTGCGTTGCCGGCTCTTTAGAAAGGAGTAAGCTCTTTTCTTGAAGGTCCCCAGGTCGTAACGGTCCGGAAAAATCGCTGGTGGTAAACTATTCCACAGAGAGGTTGTACGTGGAAGAAAACTCCTCTTGAAACGTACAGTGGTGGACCGCCAAGCATCCAGATGGCGTGCATGGTATCGGGACGTTTGCCGCGTAGTGTGTTCACGAAATTTGGGGGCTGGGATTAATCCGAACAATTCCTCAGAGCACTCTCCATACTATATGTGAAAGAAAATGCAAAGAGATGCAACATCTCTTCGCAGTGCCAGTGAATCGACCGATCGGAAAGCACTCGGTAATCGACGATTCGAGCCGCTCTGCGCTGGATGCGGTCAAGTGGAAGGAGCTGGTACTGGGGAGCCCCAGCCCAGAGATGGGAACAGTATTCCATGTGCGGCCGAACCTGCGCCTTGTAAAGTTGCAGGCGGTGTGCCGGCATGAAATACTGTCCCGCTCTGCTGAGCACGCCAAGCTTTTTAGAGGCCAATTTGGCCTTCTCTTCCAAGTGTCCACGAAACTGCACGTCACTCGATATGTCGATGCCGAGGATTCCGATACTGGCTGAGGCAACAAGGGGAGTGCCTTGAAACTGAGGAGATACAACAAAGGGGTTCTTTTTAGCGGTTAACGCGCAAACTTGTGTCTTCTGGGGGTTAAACTGGACTAGATTTAGTCGCCCCCAATCCGAGACTCTGTTCAGCAAAGACTCGACTTCAGACACAAGTTTGTCCCGGCATTCGGAGACGTTTTCCCGAGAAATATTGGCTCGGCCGGTGTAAAGAGCATCACCAGTGCTGTCATCTGCATAGCAATGAATGTTACGGGTTTGCAACATATCATTGATATGCAGAAGAAACAGCGTTGGCGATAGCACGCAGCCTTGTGTAACACCAGCGTTAATAGGCTTGCAATCGGAGCTTGCACCGTCTACAACGACCTTGATGCCCCGATCTGCAAGAAAGCTGGTGATCCAATCGCACAATTTCTCGGGAAGCCCATAGAAAGTGAGCTTCGAAAGAAGCGCTTTGTGCCAAACCCGATCGAAGGCCTTCGCAATGTCCAAGCTAACGGCCAATGCCTCCCCCTTGGACTCTACTGCCTCCGCCCATCTGTGAGTTAGGTAGACCAGGAGATCACCAGCTGACTGACCACGGCGAAAACCGTATTGGCGGTCACTAATCAGCTGGTGATCCTCAAGGTACCTCATGAGCTGGCAGTTCCACTGTTTTGGACTCCATTGTTTTGGAGAACAAGGAGGTGATGGCGATAGGCCGGTAGTTGGACGGGTCTGAGCGGTCGCCTATTTTTAGGGATCGGGTGGACGAAAGCCGTCTTCCATGATTTTGGGACTACACCTAGGGAGTAGGAGTAGCGGAAAAGACGCGTTAAAACCGGTACCAACTCTGGAGCACACGTTCTCAGCACAATTGGGGGGATTCCGTCAGGCCCATTCGACTTGTGGATGTCCAGGGAGAGGAGTGCTTTGCGAACCGAGCGCTGTGTGAACTGCACTTCCGGCATGGAGCACTCACACCGCGGGATGGTCGGCGGCGTACTCCCCCCGTCATCGAGGGTCGAGTTGGACGCAAAGAAAGAGCCTAGAAGATCGGCTTTCTCCTTTGCGATATGGGCCAGTGAGTCGTCCTCGCTGTGCAGAGATGGAAGAGATGGCTGATAGAAATTCCCCTGGACAGTCTTGGTGAGACACCAGAATGCACGGGTTCCAGAAGGAAGGTGAACTAGTTTCTCGCCAATTCTGCCTATGTGCTCTGACTTTGCCTTGGCAATGACTCTTTTGAAGGACCTAGAGGCGGAATTATACTTCTTTTTTAGAGCGCTGGTGTTTACATCCCGGGACGCTGATGCGTCAGCCCAGGCTTGGTAGCACTCCTGCTAATAGCATGATGCTATTTTACAGGAGCGACCAAACCATGGCTGAGATTTGCCTCCAATGGGCACCACAGAGGAAGGAATAAAAAGTTCCATACCCTGAAGTACCACATCAGCGACAGAATCCGCAACAACGTTGGGATCGTCCGGCGAGAAGCAAATCCGCCCCCAAGGGTAGGATGCAAAGAAAGACCGCATCCCATCCCAACCTATAGTGCCAAACACGGCGGCAGCCTGCAGAATGCAACTGCGATTTCAGCGTGAGTGGCACCACACTCCGAACAAGACAATGGTCCGAGGAGCCTAAAAGGGCGTCGACGGAAATCTGATATCCGTCCGGGTGAGAGGTCAGCAGAAGGTCCAACAGGGAAGGTGCATGATCCTCCACATCTGGAATCCGCGTTGACGAAGTAACCAGTTGAGTCAGACCATATGCCAAGGCAAAATCATGAACAGATCTCCCCGCATGATCGATTAAACGTGAACCAAGCCATTCGGCGTGATGGGCGTTAAAGTCGCCGAGGATCACGATCTCTGCGGAGGGGATCTGCTATAGTTAACCTTATTACTGTTATGTACTTCTAATTTTCCCATAATTTTATAAGCATTATTAGTTGTTTTAAGTGCCTGCCTGCTAATATATAATAATAACAAAACAGCACAATGTGACGCTACAGCATATTGTCAAGAAAAAATCTGTAAAAACTAAGATCCAGAATGAAATGAAGAAAGGCGTAAAGAACTAGCATCTAAGCCAAAAATCTTAAAATATTTAAAGGACTAGCATCCAAGTTAATAATAAAAAGCCAGGGATGCGGGCGCATAATTTTTAATTAGGGATGCTCGATGTTGCAGAAACATCGATGTTCGATGTTTATCCTACCAAATCATCGATGTTGGCCACTATCGATGTTTTTTGCATATACCCATTTAATAAATTAGAAATAAAAAAATGTTGTGTAGTTTACGGTTTATTATTGATAAAATAAAAGAAATTAACAAAAATGTTAGTGTCAGTATATACAGTTTAATATTTCTTGCCGATTATGATGAATGATACTAGTTACTTTTTAAATGTTCTTTACGTTTACAAATCTGGTATGAAAAACTACTATGGGATCTAATTTACAACTTAGAAAAAATTTGCGAACCACATGTAAACAAAATAATAGAATTCCGTCACCTTTGTTCACAATTTTTTACCAGACATCCAAAGCAGTAAGTATCCACAGCCGTTTATAAAGTGCACAGTCGAATGCGCTATGCAGTGAAATTGTCTATGCTCACACTCACTCAGTGACCTATTTTCATAACCTTTAAGTTCAAGCAAACAATAAACTCGTTATGATTAGCTCAAAAATACAGCTAAATATAATTGAATTGTGTAATTACTTACATATTGTTTCAAAATTATGTGGGATCAATTTCCATAGAATAGTTATCAGGCGACAAACGGCAAAAACAAAACAGGATAACAAAGCGAAAGCAACGACAACTGTGACATTACAGTTCACACTTGACAGTTAAGTTTGACACAACATAATGATATTTTTTATAGGTAATGATATTTTTTATAGATAATGATATTTTTCATAGATCATCATAGGTGATCGATGCGTTTAGTAATTCTGAATTATTCAAAAATTTTAACCTTTAATAGGAGATGCAAGATTTAGTTGATATAGATTTTGCGGGTTCGCGTTCTTCAAAAGTTCCTAATAATAGATTACGGATTTATTGACATCGATGTTTGACTTGTGGCAACATCGATGTAAAACTTAATTTTTAGCATCAATGATTATCGAACATCCCTATTTTTAATTTCACATTAACGCATTTTGTCAAATATTAATAAAAACAGAGAGTTATGGCGGAAACTTGGCCGTTGGCCGACGACGGACTGTCGCTCCTATTTTGTCGCTTGAATAATGGTTTGCAGTGGAATTTAATTCGTAAAAGTTATGGGATTTTGTGAATTAATTGTCTGCGCGTGTGAACTATTAGAGAAAACGACGAAACAAGTGCTTTGATGTCGATATAAATCTCAAGTTATTTTGATCGCTTGGAAGGGTGTCGGAAAAGAAAAAAAGTGCGGGAATCTTGAAACGGGACTGATAAATCTATATGGATTGAAACTTATAAAGATTATAATATAAAGAAGACTTTTAGCCTTTGTGGTTTTTGAAAATATGAATAATTAAAGAAAATAAGACTTGGCTTCGGCCTTTAGATGGAAAGAAGAAAAATAAGAGTTGGTTCCGGCCTTTACACTTGAAGTGTAAACTTCAAAATTCTATATAAATTAAAAAAAAAAGACAAGGCTGTATGGCTTAGTTCCTTTGCCTGCTCTCTCGAGCGAATAATAAAAACAACATCAACATCAATAAAAACTAAAAACATTCTACCATTCTACTTTCATTCTACTGTACATATTATATTTATTTCTCTATGAATTTATTCAATATACTTTATATGGCACTAATTGTTTTGGCAAGTAATACATTCTTTCCATATAAATTAAAGATTGAAGGTACTTTGTGGTAACTTCATACGAAACCATAATTAATTAAAAATGAATGACGATCAATCACCAAGCGATGTAGTTTTGGTAGAAGAAAACGAGGGCGCAGAAGCACCAGGTATTAGATAGCATATTTGAATTAGTACGTAAATTAGTGGTCAACCTCAAGTCAAAGAGAACCAGCACCACTGCTGAACATTTATTCTACTTTATAATTATCTAGTGCTTGATTTATAAAGGAAGTGAGCAGTCAATAATTTAATTCAATTGATCGAATAAATTGACTACTGACACCAATTTCTGAGGAACTGCTGACCCAATTTTAATGATTCTTTATTGTCATTAGATAAATAATTATGCTTTGGGGTGGTCCCATGTATAAATAAGGGTTTAATAGTTGGTAAGTTAATATTTTCAATGTAATTTACACGACATTCTTCCTGACTTTGTATTTGTGATAATCCGTATTACACTAAAAATGATTAAAATAAATGAACTTTTAATAAAAAGTTGGTGTTTACCAACTTCAAAAAATATAATGACTAAAACTATTATCATATGTTCGCTTCTGAGCTTTCTGTCTTTTCAAAATTACTGTGTAGCAGCTGTGTAAGAATATCCAGTACCTCATATCATTCCGTGAGACAAGTGTAAAAGGTAACAGAAGAAAACAAATCAAAGATGGGCAGCAGCATCTTCCTAATTATGCCTGAAAATAAAAAACTGAGTTGTCAATCCGGCAACTATGGCAAATATTCATCCTTTGAGGCAATCTATGGGGGAGGCCTATGTTCATAGACTCATAGAAACAGTGGGGCTAGATTTAGAATCATTTGCCAGGAATTTGGTGGAGCAAGGTGTTGTATTTGGTAGAGGTTTTTTCATCAATCACATTAAAAGATAATGCACTGTTTTCAAGAAAATAAAAAAACATTTTTAACCTAAAAATGGGTTGCACATAGAAAAAGAATGCAATATTACTGTGAAAGCTGGATGGTGTACATAATTTTGTGTAAGTGGGACAAGGATGGTAAACTATGTCAAATACTAGTGTCACATTATTTTAAGTTTACGCTATTTTTATTCTTATGTGGTCTATGTTCTCATAATAAATTATGTTTACAAAGAATAAAGAAATGGTTATTGCTACCCGTGTAAAAAAAATGGAATTGAAAATGGCGTCACCTCTATTCACCTATAGCTTGCACACTATCACTATCTATACTCACACCCGCCAGTAAAAACTGCAAAAAAAATATGTTGCTATATGCGTTTTTCGTACATTCTATAACTACAATCCAACTTGTCATTGGAATCAATGATAACAAAATACCATATAAACTACAAAAAATAAAATCTGCCAGGTTTTGCTAATTTGTGAGCAACAACCCGTTCTGAGAGTTCTCTTCATAATTATTTTTGATTTTGTTAGTTACTATTATTGTATAAAATATTTACGTGCCATCGAGACGTTTTTATGCATGGTAGTGCCATGCTGCAGTTATATTAGTAGTATAGTTGTAACACGAATGGGTCGGCTCGACCGGGGAAGGACCACACTCTCACAGAATACCAGCATGAAGTAGTAGCTTAATACTGCTGTGTTTCGTATGGTGAGAGTGAGAATGAGGCATTCCATCTTAGTCCTCACAGGTGACAACGCATCTGCTGATAGATGTAGATGTCTATGGGCCACAGCAACCACTTACCATCAGGCGGACTGTGTGCTCGTTAATCACCCTATATAAAAAAAAGACATGAGTAACTATTTTTTAAAGTTTCCTTAGTCTGTTCAAGCTAATCTTTTTATTAAAATTAAATAAATATTTTATTAAAATCGGAATATTAATGTTATTTTATGATTATCTTAAGTCGTCAATTAGATCCCACCCAGCAAAGTCAGGGTGAGTCGAAAGCTATTAATGTTCTTACATGCATATATTGTATATCTATTGTTCAAATATTTTCACATTAATAGAAAATTTACAATTAATCAAATGATATAAACTTATAATATGTCATTATTAGCAGGTTTTTGATATTGGTATTGTGCATGTTGACGCTACTGGCTTGTTGAGTCGCCATTTCTAATCCCATTCTTTTTCTGTATGGACTATACATACTTTACATTCGGAAATCCCTTCAGTTGAGCTAGGTTAAGCGCAGCACAGCATGATATGAGGAGGGACATCCCCGCTCCCTCCTCCCCATCCCTCTTTCTGCTGGAGAGAGATAAATGTTATCAGTCTAAATTATGTCTATGGGATTTTCTTTTCAATTTTTCTCAAGAATAGTGTGTTACCTTTCTTGAGAACCTTTTCATGATATTGGTGTCAGGGTGTAGGGGACTCTACCCTCTAACTTCAATGTAGGGCTTCACTAAGCTGCTGTACAGCCATAGGATCATGCTGTGATGCAAGCCCCAGTTGTTTCCAACCATACAACCTCACAAATCTAAAGAAATTTTTGCCTTTTGGCATACAATGCTAAGGTAAGAGTGCCGCATTAGTTTTTAGTCAATTGTCACATCCAAATACTTAACTTCAGTGGAAAATGGTACTTCTTTGCCATTAAGCTTCGGTGTAACTAATTTGTCCAACTGTCTTATTTAGGTTTGTGGTAGTAATATACTTGGCACTTTTATATTTATTTTAATAATTTGCTTTTCAATTCCAGGTGGACCGATTATAGAACTTTTCAAGAGTCTTATCACTAATGACTATAAACAAAACACTGTTTTGTCTAATGCCCAAATAGTAGATATTTTGCAGATGGAATTTAACATAGACATCCAAAAACACCATGTCTTGGAAGTAGAGATATATGTAAATGTCGTAAAAAAATACTTGAAAGACTGGCCTGAATGGGATGAATTTGAACAATCCATAATTAATTTTAAATCTGCAAATAACAGTGAAGCAATAACAAGCATTTTAGAAGAAAAATATATTAACCTAAAAAAATATTTGGGTAGCATGTTAGACATAGCAAAATATTTATCACCAAATGTAGTTAAGGATATTCCTACAACGGGACAAATGTATAAATTAGATAGTGTAAATAAGGAAAATGTTGTGATGGAAATAGAGGCAACAAGGAGGCAACTAAATCACCTAATATTAAGACATCCAATTGGTAATAATTCAATTTTCAATGTGAATGAACCATTTCCCAAATATTTTGCCTATTCATTGCCACTCCACTCTATTCTTAGTTGGAGTGGAATAGAGATTGAACTAAGGTTAAAGTGGGCTAAGAGCGGTGTAATAAATCTCAAATATGAGAACTGCCATAAGCTGCAACATGCACTTGTTAATAAAATGTTAAACCTTGACTCTTACCAAAAAACATCATTGAATCAGCAGTGGGAAGTAAAATCTAAGTGTAAAAATTTAACAATGATATCTAAAGATGCTATCTTGAATTTATTTGAACAGTGTATATCAAACAATAGATACCTGAAATGGACACCTATTTTGGTAAGCATGCATAAGATTTTGAATAACATTACAAAAAATATGCCAACTAGTATTGGTGTTCCTGGAATTTACAGAAAATATTTAAGCAAATACAGTTATGTCAGGTTCTTGTATGAGAATGTGACAGAAGAAAATGAAGTGACAGATGCTGAAAATAAAAAGTATGATTTGCGGTTACAGGAAGTTTTAAGCCCAATGTGTCAATTACATATTGGACGCAGTAAAATCCATGAAGAGTTGATTAGAATACACTGCTACTTCTGCCAGGTGACATTTATAGGAAAAGATATTGCATGGGAAATTATGAATCATTTTAAGAGTCATATTGTTGAACCGGACTGGCAGTGTACAAATTGTAATAAAACTATTACCATGTCCGATTTGACATTGGAAAACTGGAATCACACATGTGAGCCTTCTTTGTATCATCAGTTGTTGTCAATGAAGCAATAACAATGTTTAACATTTTCTACAAACACAATCTGGGGTGTAAAAGTGATGATGATGCTAAATATTATTTATGAATTATTATGATCAAATTTAAAAGTAAAGACTGAACTTGTGGATGCAAAAGTGAATCTATCCAATATGTGTATTAGCTGGTACTTGTATACAATTCATAATGTAATGCTATACCGTAAATTAAAAATATTACAGTCTGTACGGATAAAGAATGGGATTAGAAATGGAGACTCATCGAGCACGTACCGTAAACATGCACAGTACCAAAAGCGAAAACTCGCTATTAACGGTATATCGTTATATTATTTGGCGTACTGGAAAGTTTCTAGTAAATCGAAAATATTTCAAAAGTTTGTATATTACTATACATTAATTTTAAAATAACATTTATAACTAGTCTTGGACTTTATTGAGTGACCTTAATGAATACTAAATTAAAATACTGGTTAGGTATGACTAAATGACAAACTTTTTGAAAACGAAATAAAGTTGATGAGAAAAAGAAATTATTAACTAGTCAAGTAAAAAGACTAGTTTATACGATAATGTCTTCTTATTTTTTTTAAAAACGTTACCTCCACACTAGGATTTTCTCCTGTATCGTTCAGGCACAGTTTACATACATAAATTGCACAAGGATAAACATCCAGACCCGGAACAATTACTTGTAGGCCATACAAATACTTGTTCCGTGCGGGATTCGAACCCACGGCCCTCAGCGCTGTAACTCATTTCTAAGCTACTGCGCCACGCAGCCGTCAATGCTTTCATGCCTGAGTACAAATAACTAAAAATTAAATTAATATTAAAGCTGATTTCTATTTGTTTTAAAATAATTCTGTTAAGTTTCTTCAATTAACAATTAAAAAATGAATCTCAATAATAATAACATAGTAAAATTAAGAATTAATATTTTCTATTGTTGATTGAGATCTTTTTCTACATTTTTTCACGATCGTATGGGTCGTGCACTGCTGGATTTTTCAAACTTTTTTATTGACGTTTAACACAAAATTATCGGAAAATTAGAAGTAATAGTAACAAGGTTATTTGTGAAAACTTGTGTGTATTTTGACATATAATGTGAGCGCTTAAGGCATGCACATTTGGATTTACCAAAAGTTTATTAGTCTTCAGAGGTGGCAATTCACCTATAGCCTTCTTCACTTGAAGTTTGTTCCAGGTGAAGATGGGCTGGTATAGCCAATTATTAATCAGGCGGTGTAACCATTAACCGTTAATCACTACGGTTTTATAAAAAAAGACTGATGACATACATAATTCAATATACAATTATTGTATTGTAGCTAGTATTTTAAATAATCAAGACATATGCTGCAAACCTTACAAAATCAAAAAACCACATATCAACCACAAAAAATGAACAGAAACCAGTAAATATATAATTTGTTAAGATTTATAATGAATGAATTTTAAATTTTTACTAAAATGTTGAATTTTGAGGTGAAAAGTATGAGTCTCGGATTGGGTGCACATAATCCAATTCCCAGAAGTCACAAGTTTTAATTACAACAAACTAAGACAGACTGAATTATGTTTCTCAAAGGAATCTTAAACTTGTCTTAAGTACAGGAGTCGCAGGAAGGGTAATAATAGGTACACTTGATTACTTGTTGCTTACTTTACTAGTTCACAACTCGAATAGCCAGTCAATATTTATTGCAATCGTTTAAATAATATCCCACAATGGTTGTAGCCTATCCATGCTACCTATATATAAAACTGAACCTAGCAACAGTTCGAATGTGTAAGACTTACATAATCCAAATAGGTACTTTTATAATATTGCTACGAGCTTGGAGTTTGTGACAACTACAACTGCCGATTGAATTACCAAAATTGACACTTTAATTACCGAACACTAATTACAACTTAAAACACACTAATAATAAAACACTATTGTACTACTGATCACTTTAATTCGCAGTTATATCGCTTTGAAGTATTATGTTCGCTTAATCGCCAATTCAATACTCACTCGGTCGCGGTCCCTACCAGCCTTATATAGGGCCTCTTCTATTGAAACATCTAGAAAGTTTGAGTACAAACCGGTCCCAACTGACTAGGTGTAGAAAGTTCTAGTATGGAATTTTCTAGAAAGATCTTGACTCTTAGTTCTGCTACTCAATACTAGATGGCGCTTGTGGTAACCCGCCATGTACCAGGCATTAATTATGGCGCGCAACAATATGAAAAGAAGTAAAAGACTTATAAATATTACTGATAAGTGAATTAATTACTAATATTTAGAAAAGGAAATTACATTACATCTATACATATAATAAATCTGTAGAATAATTGTATGTTCACGATTCATGCGAAAACTACCTGACAATAATACCTATACAATTACGAAAATAAAAGAAAATACCTAGACAATAAATGACCGTGTGTAACATATACCTAGGTATTTTTTTCCGATTACGGAGGAGTAAAAAAGGGTTATTTTTTCCTTTTAAGTGTCATTATGGCTGCCGATGTTTCCATTAGTTGATTAACTTAAATCTATGTAAAAGTGTGGGTGTATGTAAAAATGAAACTCATCGCGTCACCAACCAGAAAAGGCATAATAATGTCAGCCGGGTCAGCTAGTATATAATAAAAATCTAAAATTATGCAGTATTTATTTTTCGGAGATATTACTTTATGTTTTCATTAGATAGCAAAAATAAATAGAACTCATCATCGTTTCATCATTCATTATTATTACATCATCGTCATTATTACAGCATGCCAGCTTTATATACAGTCCATTGAACTGAAATTTCCCATAGGCTGTCAAATATGCTGGAAATTGGCTGTAGTTGCCACACTTGGCTTAGCAAGGGCAGGTTTTATTATTTTTAATCTGCTATCGGGAAGATGATGCTGCCAATCTCTTGTTTGCTTGGGGCCAATGATATGAATCCACAGATAACCTTTATATATGAATCAAATATCGCTTTTAAACATATAATAACGTAAGTTAATTGCTATGATATTCGTCATTATTTTGTTAAAACTTATAAAGTTTTATTATGAATAAATGTAAAGAGTAAAATGTAAATAATGTAATTATGATTTTAACCTTTTCCGATGTAGCCAACGTCGGAAGACACGCATTTAACGTTATTCCTAAATTGAAACCCACGCGAGAGACGCCTCGGGTAAAAAGCTAGTAATAAATATATTTTCTATTTAAATCTTTGGAAATACCCATTTTTTTTTTTTTTTTTTTTTTATTTACTTTTTAAAATAAAAAAAGAAAATAAAATTTTTTTTTTTTTTTTGTTGTTTTTGGGGGGATATATAAAATATAAATTTAAAATAAAAAAAATAAAAAAATATATTTTTTTTTAATTTTTTTTTTTTTTCTTTCAATAATTTTTTTTGTTTTGTCAAAAAAATAAATTTTTTTTTTTTTTTTTTTTTTTTTTTTTTTTTTTTTTTTTTTTTTTGTTTTGTATGTTTTTTTTTCTCCCCCTATTATTTGGGGTTTTTTTTTTATCTTTTTTTTGTTTTTTTTTTTTTTTGATTGTGGCCGTAAAAAAATAAAGGTTCAATTATGAGGCACTTTTTTGCTCAATCGAAAACCGAGAAGTTAGTCAAATTTTACTTCTAATTTTTTTAGATAGTTATAGGTATCATATTATAAGCGTACAATACATCATATTAGCGTGTTAGAAATGACTATTACTAAGATTAATGAACACCTACATTTTGTCTACGTATTTTTCAAAAGGGTACTTTAGCGTGCTCTGCAGAGCGAGACAGTATTTAATGCTCGCACACCGCTAGCAACTTTACAAGGCGCAAGTACGGCCTCGCAAGGCATACTCATCTCTGGACCGGGACACCCCAGTGCCAGCTCCTTCCACTTGACCGCATCCAGCGCAGAGCGGCTCGAATCGTCGACGACCGAATTTTTTCTAGTCGGCTCGGTTCACTGGTTCTGCGAAGGGATGTTGCATCCATTTATATTTTCTATGGCATCTACCACGGGAAGTGCTCTGAGGAATTGTTCTGATTAATTTCACGAGCTGCCTGCCTGGACAGTGGCGAACTTCCAAACAAATTTTATGTGAATTTTTTTCTTGCGTCTACAAACACAAAATATGTAAAAATATAAGAGTTTAAAATCCTGAACATTTTTTTCTTCGGTCATTCTACTGCAGGAATCAGGAATTGAAGATATTTCACACATCTACATACATATACATCTATAACATGTATGGTATAAATCGCCTCAATTGGCAAATCGTACAAAAACAACTAGTCAATATAATTTTCATATATGTTTATGTAGGGTATTTACTAGCATAGAAGGAATCTAAAGAACGCATTAGTATTTATAGAAGAGTTTTCTGAATAAAATACACGTCAACCTCGGCTGTATAGTATAAGACCTTTGCCAGTTTTAACTGACGAATCGTAACAACTCAATTAAGTTTTGAATTGTGTATGACGATTTTTTTCCAGACTTCGATAGGCCATAAGCTTGATTAGATGATACATAGTAAATTATTTTGTTGATATCTGTAATGATAAGTAAACGCTTAATAATTCCATCAACAATTTGACACAACAACTAGTCAATTTAGTATCAAATTAGGTAAGATGATTTTTTCCAGACTTCGATAAGCCGTACGATTGATTAGACAACACAAAGTAAATTATTTTATTGATATCTGTAATGGTGACTTAAGTAGATGCTTAATGATTTCATCACATATTATTTCGCCGTTGCACATCGCGACAAAACTCACGAATACCATTCACCATCTGAATGCTTGTTGGTCCACCACTGTGCGTTTTACTAGGAGTTTTCTTCCTCGCACAACCTCTTTGTGGAATTGTTTACCACCGACGATTTTTCTGAACTAATACGACTTAGGGACCTTCAATAAAAGAGCTTACTCCTTTCTAAGTGACCGGCAACACATCTGCAATTCCCCTGGTGTTGCAGTTGTTCATGGGCATCAGTAGTCACTTACCATTAGGTGAGCCGCGTGCTCGTTTGTCCCCAATACTATTAAAAATAGTCTTTAAAATAGACCTCAACGATGTTATGCCCAATTTAAAATCGATAGGTATCAGTTTTCAATTCCAATCAAAGTTTATTTATGGTAGGAATATCTTTCTTCACGACTTAAAACAATTGAATTAAATGCATTATAATGCACATATCAAAATCGTCCAAATTCGTGATGATGATGAATGAATAAAACGTGTTAAGAAAATCAGTATTTTTATTAGTATATTTGGCGTATGTAAGTCGGTATATTTTAGTATTTTTGAGGTGCCTTGGTATTTTCGTAAAATTTAATCTGGTCACACTGAAACTATTAAGCTTAAATAGTAAGAAATATGAATGTAATAAAAACTAGCAGAGGAATAAAATGAAGTTAAATCCTTTATTTAATTTGCCTTAAATTAAAAGTACGCTACGTATCGGGCAGTTACTTTGACGCTGCGGTCCGGTCACAAACTAATAAGAAGAGTCTGGTCATCTGGTGTCGGCCAGAAGCAGTCTGCTGCTGCAACATAATTGAAATTAAGTTAAGCGTTGTAAAACAAATTAATATCAAAAGCCACACAGTCAAAAATGACGATGATGGTATTGACAAAAATGAGCTATCTGAGGGAGACGATTTTTACACTTTCACTGTCTAATTTTCGAACACAATAATAAGACAATAGCATTGAACTATATAATGTACTCGAGACAGCGAAACGTAAGGATTAAATACTAGGTAGTTGATTAAATGATATATTCTTAATATTGACTTGTTGATTTATTATTTGTACGCAGACTAAACAATTACGTATTTTGTTACACAATATGTTACAATTAAGTTAATCAATTATTAATATAGCTATATATTGTTTTCTGTCGTAATAAAAAATTGTTAAGTGGAAAATTTAGAAATTATGAGGGTACGGTCGCTTTATGACTGTAGTTTTCTGGTGGTTGGTGGTTGAAGAAGTTGAATCCAGTAGGGAGCTAGATTAACTGTTGCCGACACTGGCTTGTTACCGGGAAACGCCATTACAAAAGAAAAAAAAAATTAGTCACCACTCCAAAAATGGAACACTAGGATGATATGGGTTAATATTGGCTTGTTGATGTTCACGACGTAAATTCTTACAAAAAGTACATTAATTTATTATATAATTAAAATGGATGACGATCAATCATCAGGCTATGCAGTTTTGGTAGAAGAAAAAAAGGACGCCAAAATACCAGGTATTAGACGCAAAATTTCAATTAGTACACAAATTAGTAGTTAGAAGGACTTCGACAATGTAAGGTGCTTTGGGGTAAATCCGACATATTTTCTGATTAGTTGATACGATGCATAATTAATAATTATTTTTTTAAAAACTATCCAAGTATACGACCAACTCATATCACTTTTATTTATTGATGTACATATTCTAATTGTTTTGATAATCATCTTACTAAAATGACTTTGCGTTCTGTAAATACGATAATTTAAAATTTGACATATTTTTCTTGTGGTTAAGGTATATATAATTTCGATATAACGCGGGGTAATACCTAAAATTTGGTAAAGTGGTCCGTTTTGACTTTTGACAGAAGGTTTGGAATTACTTTTCGTTCGTCGGTACCCCTCTACCAAAAAAAAAATTGATACATACTTTATGTTTCTAGTACAACTATATTTTGCTCACTTGAATTTTCGGAATTACCCCTAATAATTACATAAAATCCAGTGGTTCTAAACATTTGAGGCACCACCATGGCAGCACACCTTACGTTTCCGTGGTTGGAGATTTATTAGGCTAGTTGAAGAGGTTTCTTTAAACTTTTATAACTGATATTAAGCCGTTGCTGCAATATTCTGTGGTAACATGAATCTATACTTCGGCCAAGGGTATAAAAGTTTTTCGATGTTACTCCATCATATCTGAACCGATTTCAACAAATGTTTTCTTCTTTACAAAGGTTATATTGTCTAAATGTTGTATAAAGGTTAAATAGTTTGAAGATGGAACTCCTCAGCGGGTAACGGCACATCGATTGCGATTAGTGTAATAGCTTAAGATAAACCAAATTTTAACCCTACATGATATACATAAGTAAAGGTGTGATATACATAAGTAAAGGCAATGTAATACATAAGGGAGCCCAGTAATGAATATAGCTTATTTAAAATTATAGGTTCTAAGGGTTGGTGACCAATTGGTGAATTGGAGACCAGTCCTTAAGCTAAGATTATAGACAGTATAATTATTTGCTATTATGGTAATCAGAAACTTACTGTATTCACGTAAATTACATACGAGCCACAAACGTGTCCCTCTGTGGATATGATGCTGACGATTATTACTGGCTATTGTTTAGACATAATTGTAGGTAGGATGTGGAAAGTAAAATTAAGTACTATTTATTAAAAAGTGTAATTTCTTACTCTTAAGATACAATTGTATGGCACACAAGTAGTAACATTTGAATAACACAATAGGTGGGAAATTTCCAATTACTAAAAACACTAAAGATATGCACGTGAGTAGCAATTAACGAAAATTAAAGTTTATTACACATAAAAACGAATAATAGCTATACCTTAAGTAAAACAAACAATAAAACATCTAGCATTTTCTACCTTTGTTTAGTAAAAATATTTTGGACAAGTCGTTTCTCTTCGTATAAAACAGAACGAAGTACAGATTGCTTTTGAATTATATCTTATCTTGCATTATGTGATTACTAACAGCAAATTATTGCAATTATTATAATTAGGAATCACTATTTTATCTGTGAACACAATGAGGTGCATATTTTTATTTTATAAGCTAAATAACTGTCGCAAGTATTTGGACCATTAAAAATAAACTTCACCTTTATGATCATTCAGTACGAATTCATCTGGATTTTCCTGAATTTAAATCAATTCAATTTACTTTACGGTTAAATCGACAGGTATACAATCTATTTCAGCTCTCCTTGGTTTTAAAAAAATAACTTAATTATTTCTGCGTACGATTTTATAGAAAGATATGTCGGTGTTTTTTTCAGCTTATTATTATTTATTTTCGTTATCAAACCGACATAATATTTCCATTTCTGATTTTAATAACATCTAGCTAGTATGGTATCTCCGAGATCGTAATCTATAACTTCTTTTACTTGATTTTTCAATGTTATTGATTTACATTTGTTTTCATTTTTTTATTTATATCCTGATTATTATTTACTTCAACCTTAATTCCTATATCTATTACGAAAATTATTTTGTTTTATTCTTAATACCCTTTTTTTCTATTTCGCTATCTTCATCTTTAACGATGATTTTATTATCCAGTGTTTTTTTAGGTCCAGTCTCAGTCTGTGATTGTAAATCAGTCTTTTCAATTTCATCGCGTTAAGTTGGCAAATATGGCGGCTTCTTTATCGTCTACTCGTTTTCTTATTGTGTTTTCGCTTTTTTCATCATCATCATCACTCATCACTTCTTTTTTCATCATCATCATCAGGAATCGATATTATATCTTCCGTAATATTTTTGTCACTGTTACTATGGAGGCTTATAATATCTTCTACTGAAGTGGTGGAACTATTTTCATACTTCTTTGTTTTCTTAGGTTTGTTTTTTTTGTTTTGTTGTTTTTTTTTCTTTATATATCTCAACTTGATTGTTCAAATTATTCTCTACCACGGCAGTGGTAACTGTACGTATATATCCGAATTTTCATCTAATATCTCTTGTAATGTATTGTCTTATTCTTTTTGGTACTTTTCTATTTCATACTACCAGTTTTCTTATTCATTTCTTTCATATGCAAATTAGCCTCAAGCCAGTTCACTAAATCAAAATCTAAATAATTTTTCTATTATATCAACATCACTCCGGGGGTTTATTAAATCACTCATAGAGTAACTGCTTGAACGCCTTTTAAATTTTATGCCAGATTCCTTCTTAGTTTTGAGTTTTCTTTTTGAAATATTCGTTTTTGGCTGTTGAGATTTTTTCGCATCTTTTTCTTTTTCTTTATTTTGTTTTAAAAGAGTCTGAGTGATTACTCTGCTTCTTTAGCCACTCGTTTTTTTTTTTGCCGGATTTTTTCTAAGACGAGTTCTTCAAAACTGATGTTAATATGATGATCATCTTTCTGATTTCTCAAGATAGAGATAAAGCTGATTTTTGGTTTGTCATAAATGGTAGAAATTCGCTATCTTTCTTTTAAACTCGGCTCAATAATTTCACATTTGTTGATTTAAGACTGGTCTCTTCAGTAATTGGAGTACACTTATTTTCAGAAGTAGATTACCGACACCAATTAAAACTTATAACATACTAATAATTAATCACATGGATAGTAGATGGCGCTAGTGGCATTAATTACGGCGCGCAGCAATAATTTCAGTGTAATAAAGGCATCCACAAGTTTTTCTGCCAACGGGCCGGTGCCACTTAAAAATGACATTTAATATTTGATAGATTTTATAGCAGAAAATTATTAGAATTTACTATTAGTTATATTTAATACTAATTAATTTAAAAATAAATAAAAAAAACCACAGATATTGATAAAAAACGAAAAATTAAAACAAGAGTTAAAATTTAAAGAGCAAACCACAAAGGCATCGTTTTGTGTAATAATATTGTACTTAATACTCTAGAAACTGATAAACTTTTATTTAAAACTAACTTCTCTATTATGTCTCTATTAAATTATATTGTGTAACAAAAAATATCAACTCAATGTCAACTAGCGACATCTGGTGACGGGAAAATTATTAGCCCTCATTTCATTTACATGACATTCATATGATTTTTTTGACCTTGAATTTGTGATATTCCTTACTCCACTAAAACGGATAAAAGTAAATAAACTATAATAAAAATATAAATACCACCTTTTAAAACTATAATGAATTAAAATAATTTGCTAACATGTGTAGCTTCTGAGCTTTCTGTTTCTTCAGAATAGCCGTGCAGTGGCGGTGTAAGAATATCCACTACGTCATTTCATCCCGTGGGTGTCATAAAAGGCGGCAGAGGAAAACAAATCGGGATATGTTAGCAGCGTCTTCCTAATAATGACTAAAAATAAAAAATGACGGTTGTCGACCGCCTGCGTGGCAAAAATGGCAAATATCCCTACCATTAGGCAATCTATGGGGGAGGCCTATGTTCAGCAGTGGACTTTAATAATAACGGTGACCGTAATAGCTTGTGAAGTCGGTCTTAAACATAGTCTATCAACGAATTAGCTCTGACTTCAGCTCAAGCTTCTTTATGTAACATTCAAGCTTCTTTATGTTATACTCTTTTGTGGCTAATTCTTGATATAAAACTTCAACTGTCAGAGTTTCATGATTTTCTGAACCGAAAACCGCAGAGTTAATAAACACGCTCTTGTTTGATAGTTGATACTTAGATAAAAGCTGCACATAGCAAGAGTTTGTATCGGCTTCAAATTATTGTTTGGGGTATGGATGTTTGTCCATGTTAGATATACTGTTTATATATGATATAGTGTATCTATGATATAAAAGAAAACCCTGATGTGACATTAAAAACAAGAAAAATAATGTTTTTTTTATATTTATTACCAATAAAAAATCTACAATTAATAATACACATTAAACACAGCGCAAACCACTGAGGTTTAGTTGCTGTGCTTGAGTTCGCTACGCTTATAAAAAAAAGAAAAGAAGAAAAAAAACAAAGTACTTATTTATAAAACTATTCGATCTTTGCTATCTAAAGAACTCACTAGAAACATCTTTAGTTTGTTTTTTATATTTTTTTCATTAATAGAGTTCCTAAACTCAGGATCCAATCTAAAAATTAGGGACATGTATATATATAATTTGCTTTTTAATTGCAGATGGACCAATGATAAAACTTTTCGAGAGCCTTGTCACTAATTACTGCTATAAACAAGACATTATTTTGACTAATGCCCAAATAATAGATATTTTACAGGTAGATTTTAACATAGACATCCAAAAAATCCATGACGTAGAAGTAGAGATATATGTAGATGTTGTAAAAAAATACCTGAAGGAATGGCCTGAATGGGATGAATTAGAACGATCTATAATTGATTTTAAATCTGATAATAATAGTAAACCAATAACAAGCATTATAGAAGAAAAGTATCTGAACCTGAAAAAATATTTGGGTAACATGTTAGAAATAGCAAAACATTTATCACCGGATGTTGTGAAGAATATTCCTAAAACGGGACAAATGTATAAAAAAGAAAACGTAAATGAGGAAAATGTTGTGATGGAAATACAGGCAACACGGAAGCAACTTAATCACTTAATATTAAGACATCCAATTGGTAATAATTCAATTTTTAATGTGAACGAAGCACTTCCCAAATATTATGACTATCCCAATTTGTTACCACTCCACTCTATTCTTAGTTGGAGTGGAATAGAGGTTGAACTAAAGCTAAAGTGGGCTCAGGGCGGCGTAATAAATCTCAAATATGAGAACTGCCACAAGCTGCAACATAAACTTGTTAATAAAATGTTAAATCTTGACTCTTACCAAAAATCGTCATTGAATCAGCAGTGGGAAGTAAAATCTACAAGAAAAAATTCAACAGAGATATCCAAAGATGTTATTTTGAATTTATTTGAACAATGTATATTAAACGATAGGTACCGGAAATGGAAACCTGTTTTGGTGAGCATGCATAAGATTTTAAGTGATATTACACGAAGTATGCCATCTAACATTGGTGTTCCTGGAACTTTCAGAAAATATTTAAGCAAATACAGTTATGTCAGGTTCTTGTATAAGAATGTAACAGATGAAGAGACAGATACTGAAAATGAAAAGTATGATTTGCAAATACAGGAAGTTTTAAGTCCAATGTGTCAATTATATATTGGACTCTATCGAAGCCGTGAAGAGTTAATTAAAATACACTGTGACTTCTGCCAGGTGACTTTTACAGGTGAAAATGTTGCGTGGGAAATACAGAATCATTTTAAGAGCCATGTTGCCGAACCGGACTGGCAGTGTGTGAATTGTGATAAAACTATTACCATGTCCGATTTGACTTGGGAAAACTGGAATCACACATGTGAGCCTCTCTCTTTGTGTCATATGCAATAACAATATTTAACATTTTCTACGCAGATAATCTAGGTTGAAAAAGCGTGATGATTCTAAATGTTGATTATGAATATTATTAGCTTGTTGATTATAATAATATTAGCATCACATTAAAAAAAACATGACCTTATCCAAAATATGTATTAGTGATTATACTTATACAATTCATAATGTAATACTGGATTATAAGTCATAAAAATATTGAATAAACGTCTTTTTTATCAGCCTATGTGCAGGTTCAAATCGAAAGAAGTATGATGTGTTTTCTCATCTGATTGGATTAATTTTAGTGTAACAAATACTATGTTCAAAGCACTAGGCTTCTTCCCAGAGGTCTATACTAACAGAGATTGTTTACTATAAGTCGCTGTCAAAATTAGTGATCAATATAGCTAATATTTGTAGATGAATGAATAAAAGAAAAACAATGAATATTTAGTAATTAGGTAATTATAAACAACTTCTAGTTTAATTATTTGATCAAATTCTTACTGAAATTGAAGCAAAGAAGAGAGCATAGGTAGATTAACTGGCAACAAAGGCTGGTATTTCCGGCGGTACGAATGATGATATTGAAAGAAAAAAGGCAGTCTTTACACATCTAAATGAGAGAGTAAAAGAAGTAGTTGAAATAAAAAAGCAAGAAAGAACGGATAAGAATATTGGATAACTTCCAGGCAAATATTAAAATGTTCTGGAAACTCGTAAGAACTGCCAGGGGACATTCAAAACAGCCTATAATGAATGCTATAAGAGACGAGAATGTGTGGAAGTGAGGAAACGACGTATGAACTAAATGAATTTGAAACTCCAAAAGAAGAGGAAAGAGGTAGCGAGATAAGTGTAGATGAAATAATGAAAGCAATGAAAAGCATGAAAGCAGGTAAGGCAGCCGGATACGATAGAGTTTCACTCGAAATGCTAAGAACTGTAGAGGAAGTGGTGGCAGGCCTGCTGCACACCATGCTTAATTTATGGTGGGAACTGAAGCGGGTACCTGTAGACTGGTGCAAAGCCGTGATAGTCCCAATATATAAAGGAAAAGGGTCGCGGCAGGACTGTAAAAACTACCGTGGTATCAGCTTGCTTAGCATTGTGGGAAAACTGAATGCATGCATACCTTAGTACTAATTGAAAGGGTCATGAAAGAAACTGATGGAAAAATTTGGGATGTGCAAGCGGGATTTAGAAAGGGAATGGGGTGTACAGATCAAGTCTTTTCCATGCGCATGATCGCGGAGAAGTTTATGGCCATAAACCAAAAGGTTTTTTGTGCGTTCATGAACTTGGAAAAGGCCTATGATAGAGTGGACAAGGATATGTGCTATGGCAAACACTGACCTCATTTGGGTTGAGCGCTGGGTTGATACAGGCACAAAAGTCTCTTTATAAGGACTCTAGTGCTTGTGTTAGGTTCAACAGGGTCTACTCAGACTAGCTTGCCATCCATAAAGGTGTCAGACAGGGCTGTGTGGCTTCCCCGTAGCTGTTCAACCTATTTATGGACAATTGTTTGGAAAATTTGAAAGTTGAAGAATGCGGATTAAGAACGGTAGAGCCTTTTGTACGCCGATGATCAAGTTATTCTTGCATCGTCGGCAGCCGAGTTTCAAATGATGGTTACATTAATGAACAGATCATTAAAAGAAAGGGGTATGAAAGTGAACGCAAGTAAAACGAAAGTTATGGTTTTTGAAAGAGAAGAAAGTAAAACGATATGTGAAATAAGAATAGAAGGGGAGTTGGTCGAGCAAGTAGATGAGTTTGAATATTTGGCATGCGCATTTAGCAGGGATGGGATATATGATAAGAATATAGAACGACGAGTTAACGCAGGAAATAGAGTAAATGGGGCCCTGCACTCTATTGTAAAGAGTCAGAATGTGGAAAAAAGGCACTTATGGTCCCTACTTTAACGTATGGTAGTAAAAGTTGGGTGTGGCAGAAGAAACACGAGAGTAGAATAAAAGCAGTAGAAATGCGGCCGTTAAGGAATATGTTAGGCCTCGAAGTATAACTACCTTCGACTGACTTCGACTTTCGACACAAGTCGAAAGCGTGATTGCTGATCATGTGGTCAAGTTTTCTCAGAAACATCCTGAAGTCAGGAAGTTGGCGTTGTTCCTGTATCGTGGACACTCCCGTGCCTCGGAAAACACGAAAGCTGTTGGTTCTACCAACCTACCAACCCTATAGAATAGGGTGACAAACGAGCACACAGTCCATCTGATGGTAAGTAGTTGCTGTGGCCCAGAGACATCTACATTTGTCCTCGATTTCGAAACAAAAAGCAGACACGTTGTCACCCGTGAGGACTTACGTGGAATGCCTCGTTTCCAGTAAAAAGGGTCTCCGGTTCTCTACACTCACCATACGAAACACAGCTGCATTAAGCTACTATTTGACGCTGGTATTCTGTGAGAGCGTGGTTCCTCCCCGGTCGAGCCGACCCATTCATGCTACAACTATATTAATAACTGCAGAATGACTGTACCACGTAAATTTAATTGCCTTCCCATCGAAATATTAGAGTTAGGGGTAAAACTATAGACACCGGGGCCTTGCGTACGGAGTGGGGGGAGGAGAAACCACTCTCCTCCACTTCCCCCCTTGCGGAAATGTACAGTTTATAAGTTATGTTTTTTTTTTGCAAAATCAATCTCACTTTTTACACACGAATATTTACTCAAACTACTACTACGACTTGATGAAAAACGACTACTGCAACAGCTTCGGCGTTGCGGAAAATGCAGCTACTTTGCTCTTGCAAATCGCAGGCACCCATGCTCACCTCCTCAGTATGGCATAGCAAAGCATAGCATAAACACTCACGCCTGTCACCCAGAGGGGTAGGCAGCGACCACGGACTTCCATTTGACACGATCCTGACATACCTCTTTCGCCTCCTTTACATCCATATATCTACGCATACATGCTCGTCGGTTAAGGGTACTTTTAACGTGGCCCATTTTCAAAATATCGCCAATTTGGTCGATAAACTTTTTTCTAGGGCGTCCCTTTCCGACTATATAAATTTGTTTTGTCACTCTTTCCTCATTCATTCTTTCTACATGACCAAACCACCGAAGCATTCCTTTCTTAATCCTGGTCACAACATTATCTTGCATACCACATTTATCTCTTATCATGCAATTTCTCATCCTGTCATTCAGATTCAACCCTAGCATACTCCTTAAAGACCGCATTTCTACAGCATTTATTCTACTTTCGTGCTTCTTCTGCCACACCCAGCTTTCAATACCATACATTAAAGTAGGGACTAACACAGCATTATGAATTACCATACGTGCCTTTTTTGATACATTCTGGTTCTTCACAATAGAGTGTAGTGCCCCATTCACTCTATTCCCTGCATTTACTCGTCGTTCTATATCCTTATTATATCTATCATCCCTGCTAAATACACATCCCAAATACACAAACTCATCCACTTGCTCAATTAACTCTCCTTCTATTCTTATTTCACATACCGTTTTGCTTTCCTCTCTTTCAAAAACCATCACTTTCGTCTTACTTGCGTTCACTTTCATTCCCCTTTCTTTTAATGCCCAGTTCATTAATGTAACCATCATTTGCAACTCAGCCGCCGATGACGCAAATATGACTTGATCATCGGCATACAAAAGGCATTTGACGGTTAACTCGCCCATTCTTAACCCACATTCTTAATTTTTAAAAGTTTGCAAACACCTGTCCATAAATAGGTTGAACAGCCAAGGGGAAGCCACACAGCCCTGTCTGACACCCTTTCGGATGCCAAACCAGTCCGAGTAGACCCCATTGATCCTGACACAAGCACTAGAATCCCTATAAAGAGACCTCAATGCCTGTATCAAACCAGCGCTCAACCCATATGAATTCAGTGTTTGCCATAACACATTCCTGTCCACTCTGTCATAATCCTTTTCCAAGTCCATGAACGCACAAAAAACTTTCTGGTTTTTAGCCAAAAACTTCTCCGCAATCATGCGCATGGAAAAGACTTGATCTGTACACCCCATTCCCTTCCTAAAACCCGCTTGCACATCCCAAATTTTTCCATCAGTTTCTTTCATAACTCTTTCAATTAACACCTTAGCATACAGTTTACCCACCATACTAAGCAAGCTGATACCACGGTAGTTTTTGCAGTCCTGCTGTGACCCTTTTCCTTTATATATTGGTACTATAACTGCTTTACACCAGTCATTCGGTACCCGTTTTAATTCCCAACATAAATTAAACAAGGTGTACAGCAGGCCTGCCACCACTCCCTCTCCAGCTCTTAGCATCTCGAGTGATACTCTATCATATCCAGCTGCCTTACCTGCTTTCATGCTTTTCATTGCTTTCATTATTTCATCTACACTTATCTCCATACCCCTTTCCACTTCTTTCGGAATTTCTTGTTCATTTAATTCAGACGACTCTTCACTCATAAACACGATTTCAAAGTATTCCTTCCATCTGTTTAAATTCGAAACTTCATCATTCAGAATACATCCATTCTCGTCTCTTATAGCATTAATTACAGGCTGTTTTGTATTTCCCCTGGCAGTTCTTACGAGTTTCCAGAACATTTTTATATTAGCCTGGAAATTATCAGATATCCTTCTATCATTCTTATCCGTTCTTTCTTTCTTTTTCCTTTCAACTACTTCTTTTACTCTCTTATTTAGACGTCTAAATTCTGCCTTTTTTCTTTCAATCTCATCATTCATACCACCAGAATTACCAGTTTTAGTTGCTAGTAAATCTAACCATGCTTTCTTCTTTGATTCAACTTCCACCCGCACCTCATCATCCCACCACAACGTATTCCTTTTCCTTTCATTTGTTCTCTTACTTACACCACATACTTCGGTGGCTGCATCCACCAAACCTTTCTTAATATTATCCCACACAGTATTCAAGTCTAAACCATTCATACAAAACTCATTCAAACACCTAATATTTTCTCTCAGTCTACATTTATACTTCTCTTTCACATCTTCATCTTG